TGAAATTCTATCTGAGTGTTAGGGAGCGAATGCGAGCTGCATAAGAAGGAAACTCTCTGCGTTGCTAACTGCTATATAACGAAATACTAAGCTTGATGGGATGAAAGGGGGTGCTGGGGCCTGCGTGGATTATAACCACCTGCATGGTCGTGTGGTCACGTGATATGGATTAGGCCTAATCGGGCGCCGAGCTTAATCCGACGTCGGGTCTAACCGGGCACCGGCCTTCGGTCGGGCTCGGTCGGACGCTGAGCCTAACATCACCCCCCGGTCTAGGGGCAGGCATGTCCTCATGCCGGTAGGTCGTCATCAACCTCGTCCTTCAGGTAGCTGTCTGTCTCCCATGCCTTCAGCCACTCATCTAGTCGCCTTGGGGGTCCAGCTTTTGTAGGGTTAGCCTCATGGAAGTCGCGTATGGCGTGTGGTGATCCTTTGAAGTCGCGAGCGGGGTACCATGAAGAATCCTCATCAAACCCCTTCCAGCGCACCCGATACTGCAGCTTGCTCCGGCTTATTCTACTGGCCAGTATACGATCTATTTCCCATTCATTCTCACCATCTATTTCAATTGGGTCTGGTGGTCTGATAGTCTGGCCAGGTAGAGGGTCTCTGGAGTCCTTGCGTAGCTTGTCTGGGGAGAAGATTGAATGAATTTTCATTGTTATGGGGAGGTCCAGTTTGTAGGCATTGCCCACCTTTTCCAGGATTCTGAAGGGGCCGGCATTCTGCTCTGCCAGTTTACGGCTTGGTCGATCCATCTTGTATGATTTCAATGTTAGATAAACAAAATCTCCTACTGCAAAGTCAGGCTCTCGATGGTGCTTGTCAGTCTGCCTCTTCATCTGTTCCTGTGCTGTCTTTATGCCTTTACTCGCCTGGTTCCAGATCTCTCTCATTCGGTGAATGAAGCTCCTTGCTGCTTCTCGATTTCTTTTCTCATTCATGTCCAATTTCTCCGCCAGTGGTTGCCAGTCAAATGACATTCGGGGTTCATATCCATTTGCTGCGAGGAAGGGGGAGATCCCTGTGGAAACGTTAGGCGAACCTGGAGAGGCATGCTCTATTATGGAAAGCTGTTCATCCCCAGTCGCCTTGGCAGTAGATGACATATGCGCGAAGAGAGCAGAGAGTGCATTGGATTCATGACTTCTGTCTGTTCATCAGTATGTGCATG